CCCCCCCCCCCCCCATAAGAACCACTTCGATGGTGTAAGAATCAAGACTCTATCATAAATCCTTGAAAAATAATAGTTAAAATTTCAATTTCCATCAATTTTTAATCGATTGCCCATGTCTTATTTCGGAAACAAGCTTGTCCTCTTAATTATCTCTACCATTAAACTTTATCACAACTCACCCTTCGTCCCAGAAGAAATTCCTCATTTCCACGATGTTTTCGTGTTTGAGTACCTTGAGTAAATTAATTTCCGTAATGAGATTGTCGATCGCCGATTGCGATAGGGTCGATTTGTCCACGCATTTGATTGCCACCACCTCTCGCAAGCCATCCTGCACAAAGTCCAATTCAGTATTCTCGGCTGGGCATACTTTTACTTATGATTCACTCACTCTATTTATATTATGACTAGTTTCGTGTACTTATACCGTATGTTTTACATTAAAGGGGAACGAAATTCAACAACATGTCAATCGGTTGAGTGCTATTTGCCATGTCGGTCGTGCATTAATAACGTAACTTAACAGAAAAAAAAAAAAAAAAAAAAAAAAAAAAGACACCATCGCGAATCAAAAGTGAAAATCTCAATTTAAATGTGATCGTTGGATGGTGCAATTATGTGACACTTTTGAATGCATTGAGCCAAGGTATAATGTATCATCGATAACTTCTTCACTGTCATTCCTTAAAAAGAAACGACTTAATTCTTGTTTACGTATTATTTTACAAGCAAGCACAATTTCACATTTAAATAATTCATAACGGCGATGTCAGAATTATTATCCTTAACTGTCTCAAATTAATATGTAATAATCATCTGAATTCCATAATTTCGTGTATCGATGAAACTTTAAAGGAAAGCCAAAACTTTGTATACGAGCACAGATATATAAAAAATCAAAATATTGAAAGATTTTATAAAGTTTCGATCAATTATTGTAATGTAAGTAAATTGAGAACTTGTATTGTACTCTTTAAATATTATCTTCTACTTTCTTCTACTTGGCATTATAATTATATTGTACGATAATTTTCCAATCAGACAATAAATAACATTTCAAAGATATAACATTAATTTTTTCTGCATAACTTTTTGACGAATAATACGAATTTTAATAAATGAATTGTATATATCTATACACTCTATATGCTTTAGTATTTGTAGTGTGCAGTAAATATAAGAAAAATTGGGGTGCTAAGCTAGTTAGCTTTGTAAAAGTCATTATCTGCAAGATTTCAAGCGAAAGCTTCTATTATCCCTGACATGATTTCCTTATAAATGGATCTTATTTTTATACGTATAAGCAATTTAATTCTATTAAGGTGGTGATTAAGAATCTAATTATAAAATTTAATTAAAACTTTGCAGTGAATTAAAATGAAGTTTTAATTTATGAATTTCGAAATTGATATTTTATTTTATCTATAATTATATATCATTAAACATTCTGTAAGAATAACTTAGGATAATTTCACTACTTACTCTTAAATATGTATTATATCTTAAAAAGTATCAAATAAATTTTTAATAAATCTTTGCTTAGAAGCAATCATATATATATATATATATATATATATATATATATATATATATACACACACATGCCCGAATAAAAGGTAAACGTGGATTGTTACACGCACCCACGCGTGAGCACGAAAACGCGCACGCGCATGCGCGTATTTCTTTAAATTTGAATCCTTTATATGTGAATTCTAAAAAAAAAATTTGATAATTAAAATTTGTCAGATTAGTGGAGTTTCAATGATTTTGATTTTTAAATTACGATAAGAAATTAATTAACTTCTTGTTGAGGTCGATTAGAAATTAGAGTATTTATTTAAAATTGTCTTGGTGTACATTAATTTTTATTATTATAACGCGAAGGGGCATTTATATCAAATTAATTATATCATTTTATATAGCAACTGTAAATATAATATTTTTAATAAAAGTTTCATTATTCTTTCAAAGCGTAAGTAATAAGCCGAGTAAGATTAATTATAAAATTATACGCGAGGGTTTAACATTTGCCGATGCAAGGTTTCTCAAAACGTTGCGGGAACTTTATCCATGTAAAATAAACCATATCGGGTTAAATTAATTAATTCTAAAACTAATTTATTCATCCGTTCGTCGCTCCATTTAATTTAACATTATAGAATTTGTAGAGATGCAATGTTTTTATTTATTGTAATTGATACGTTAAATTTAAATATTTGATGTATTCAATTGTGAACTGATCTTTGGAAATGTGTGGAAGAAGAAACAAGAATAAAAAATAAAAAAATAATAATAAACACCCCGTGCGGTAGATTCGACCTTGACATTATAATTATTATTGCTATTATTACTGTTATTGTTTTCGCTGCTGTGCCGTTATTGTTACCATTATTATCGTTGTTATTATTATTATTATTGTTATTATTTTTGTTGTTGTTGCTGCTGCTGCTGTTATTATTGCTATTGTTATTGTTATTGTTTTTATTGTTATTGTATTGTGTCGTATAGTATCGTAGTGTGCTCTGGGCACAACGCGAAGGAGGGGCCATTTTCTAATTTCCACCAAGTGGCGTGTACTGTGGTAAATAATTATTAATCGTCAGTTTTCAGCGCCCTGGATTTATTATATGAAACGTTGGTGGGTAATAATCGTGCGCCCCGTATCTGCTTCAAGTACGAAAAACTGGCAACGAAGGCCAAACAATGAGATCACGTAGCGTTGGAACATTTGTCTGGATAAAATCAGTATAATCGCTGGTTTCACCAATCCACGTCGGCTGTTGAAAAATTACGATTTTTAAAAAAGACACGCGGCAAGGTGCGTAGAAGCATTAATCCGCGGCGCAGTTTCTGACTTCCATGAAGAGAGAAGGGGATGCGAGATAAACACAAACAATCGAGCTTTCAATAGCCATCGCCTCTCAACTGTCCTGGACAATCTGGTCATGGTAAGGGGGGTGGGTCGGTGAGGTGGGAGACGGGAAGGGGGCGATGAGGTGGTTTTATGGTTAGGCGTTGGAGGAGCTGGTGACCGAGGAGGATGATGAGGAGGGGGAGGAGGAGAAGGAGGGTGGAAAGGAGATGGAGAGAGCCGTCGAATGGAGAAGAAAAACTTACTCGCTTGAAGGCTTTGTAAACGGTGGAATAGCTGCCGGCACCTATTTTCTCCAGCACGTTGTAGTCCTTAACGTTTGGCAGAGTCATCTTGCCGCTCTACGTTTCTCCTCTTCGCCACACCACCACCGTACCCTAGTGCTCGACAGCCTGCATTCGCAGGGCCGAGGAACAACTCACGTGTAATGAGAGCGTGGCTTGCTTGGCGACAGTTTCTTCGAATCACTGACTCGGAGCTTTCGCCGTCCCGTAACTCCGCAAGTCCACAAGGTTAACTCCGACACTCGGCGTCGCGCGCTCATCGCCAAGTCGCGTCGTCGTCGTCGTCGTCATCGGCGTCGTCGACGTCGTCGTTGTCGTCGTTGTCGTCGTTGTCGTCGTTGTCGTCGTTGTCGTCGTCGTCGGGGCCAGGAGAGTCGATCGGCCCGGATCGCGCCCTCTATTGGTAGTGCGAAGCGTCTCGGAGATGGGACGTCGGTAGAGAGGTGAGCTTCTTATCATCGATATCGCCTACCACGAGGAGAAGCTATTCGAGAGAGAGGCGGTTGTGGTGGTGGTGGCGGTAGTGGTGGTAGTGGTAGACGGTTGACGGAGGTGGTGATGGCGATGGCGGCCGAGGCGGCAGCAGCAGCAGCAGCAGCGACTCGCGCTGCTGCTCCCTTGGTATTATTATCGTGGTGGTTATCTTCCTTCTTGTGGTGTGGCGATGGTGCATGGAAGGGTCTGACCGATCGATGTCGAAAGTTGCCGCGGGCAAGGCAGCAGCGGAGTCTGTCGTTCGCGGCAGATTTTCCCTCGCGCTCTCAATTCGCGAACAATTGAACTGTGTATTGTTACTGCGCAAAGTCGTGTGGTTACTTTAAAAAGTGGAGTATTGGGGCTCTCAACGTGAAGTGGGCGGTGTATGGCGGAGGGGAGAGGAGAAGAAATTGATATGTCGGGCGTTTGAGGGAGCAATGCTAATGTGCCAGCGGATAGCGCGGGAAAAGGTTGGTTAATACTTGTGGTTGCTTGTCTTGTTCCTCGTATTGTTAATATCGAGTGCTATTCGGACGGCCCGTGAGTTTTGTTTGAGGTGATCGTGTGAGATACTTTCTCTCGCAATGCAAGGCTATTTATTAATTTTCGCGACGCTGTTGTAATCTATGGAAATTGAGTTGCACTTATCGGTACTTTAATATTTCGTATGAGAATTAATTAACGATGATTGTCTAGCGGCAATTTTCATTGTACGAACGCAACTCCTAAACTGTCGCATTAATAAGGTAAATAGATGAAAAAGAAAATGTTTAAGATAGGTTTTAGAATTTGTGGGTGCAGCTTTCCAAACGAAAGAATCTGCCTAAACGTGGCTTCCTATTTTAAATTTAGCCATTGTGGCACACATTTGAATGCAGATGAAAAAATGAATAAACTCGCGAACGTTAATATTTGCATGAAAAGATATTCTCGATAGCTCGAAAATGTTGCAAAAAGTTCGATGAGTCTGCGTGTGCGTGTGCGAGTTGCGTGCATGCGCGCAATGTAGATTAATTTGAACGCTCGATCGAAAAATTTATCGTTTAGTAATTTTGAAGAAAAAAAAAACATTGCATTATATATTAGGAATAGTATGTAGATAAATCGTGTTTTTTTTTTCGTGTTGTAGAATGTTTTTCTTAACACCAATTTGTTTTCTGTTGTTTTAATGGTAGGATGATGGAGTGTAACAAATAAATGTGGTTTGTTTTCAAAAGACTTGCATTGTGATATCCGAATTGGAATGAATTGTCAAGGCTGTGACGCAGTTAATTTAATTTTCAAAATCTTATATTTTACTTTGCTTAAAACTTCACGAACGCTCTGAAATATTTACATAAAATACGCTTCACTGCTTATGAATAATCCATAACTTATCTACTTAATTTGAATTTGAGATAAATCTGTATCCCCAAAGATAATTGCTTGAACATTACGTTAATTTAAAAAATAAATAAATATATATATATATATATATATATATATATATATCGTTTAAGAGCACAATTACATACATTACGCAAACATTTTATCAAACATGGACTTTTACACAAACGTGCAAAAAGTATATGAGCATAATGTTAAATCAATAAAACCAAACGATCGACCAAAAGCTTGTAATAATAATGGAACAATCGGCCATTATAAGAACTCGTTAAATTTGTAGTCCATAATCTTATATCCGTATCAAGTCGATAATAACGTAACGGTAATCACCAATGCCTTCAGAGACCATAACAACAATTACAAAACAACAGTGACGACGACACCACCAACAGCAATAATAATAAAACAAAATAAAACAAAAAACAAACAATAGTGACTGCCGGTCGTTGATTTAGCGATAATGCCAATAATGGCAGTGGGTTTGATGGGGCGGGGGAGGGGAGACGAGGAGAAGAAGGAGGATAAACCCCCCTTCTCCGTATTATGTGCCTCGGAGAGAAGACAACATTACTGTCCAGTCAGCTGAGCGCTCGATTCCACGTGTAGCCTTTGTATACAAATGTCTTTCGTTGCTCACTTCAGACCTAACCATTGTATTTCCAACTTCTCTCCGAAATTCTAACTTTTCCGGACGGATCGACCGAACAACCGACGGACCGACCGACGGACCGACAAATCGACCGACGGACCGATGGACAGACGGACAGACGGAGAGACCGACGGACAGACCGACGGACAGACCGACCGACCGATCGACCGATCGACCGACCAACCGACCAACCGACCAACCAACCAATTGTCCCCTCGCCGCATTAGGAAAATAAGTGCGAGGTCCAAAAAAAACCCTCGAACCTCCCGACTTTCAATATACGACCGATGCCTGCCGAAACCTCCAGTGGGTAAGGGACGCGTCTCTCGTGTTTGCCTAGTCTGGCTTAAAAATCGCGCGACGTCCCCTTTGGATGGAAAACACCAATGAATGCCAATGAGTTTACGACTCGGCCGTACCTGGCAGGGCCACTGCTAATGCTGCCACCGCCGCCGCCGTCGACGTTGGAAAGGGCCCATGAGAGGACAATGAAGCGAGACGACGGGCTGATAGAGAAAAGGACTGGCGCGTAATTGACGGACGACCGTCCGATATATAAAGTGGGGCGAGGGGAACGGTAACGACGAATTGCTCGGCGCTGCAATTGCCAGACAGACGCGCAGCGCACGAGACGAAGTTGAGCTGAGTCGTCTCCGTTACGCGCGCGCGCGCCGTTTTTGTCGTAGTCGTAGTCGTAGTCGTAGTCGTAGTCGTAGTCGTAGTCGTAGTCGTATTCGTATTCGTATTCGTATTCGTCGTAGTAGTAGCCGTAGTCGTAGCGTAGTCATCATCGTCGTCGTTGGCGTTGTCGTTATTGTCGTCATCGTAATCGCCGTCGCTGGCGCTGTCATCCCCCCTCCCCCCAACCGCCACCCAAGTATTAGCGAAATTCTCTCTGACTTATTATATTGACGAGCAAAGTCGCTCGCTCTAGCCGATAGTCCTCGCCGCTTTCTGTCCTCCGGGTTGCCGTCCACGAAACCGAGTCTAACCTCACTCCGTCAGTTAACCAGACAGTCGCTAGTCTGCTGCGCGTGTGTCTCGAGATCTTGACTGAGGTGGCCAATAGTGACAGGCAGTAAGTTAGTATGAAGGAGGACGGCGGGCCATGAAGAGCAACGTTCGTAAGTCGAATCGTACTACCTATCAACTCGTTCGTCTTTTCCTTAGGCTTGACGCGCGTGTCTTCGCTACCTTATTTTATCTCCACGGGAGTGTGAAATTTGTGTTGCCGAGTGCGTTGTTGACGATCCGCTAGTGCACCTTTCTCACTCTCATTTACGTATCAGACGCACGCGAACGCGTACCCACACGTGCAGGCAGCGGCAGCAACAACCAAAGGAACAGTAACAGTAGGAGCAACACAACAGCTGCAGCAGAAGTATCGGCAGCAATAGCAACACACTTACATTAAAGCAACGCGCACGTACAGATGCACACATAGCGCGCGCCCGAGCACACTCGCACACATGCGCGCTCAAGAGCGTGTTCATACGCGTATCCATACATAGCTGCGTTTATTTATTTTGGCGGCCTTCTTGTTTATGCTCTTGGGAGTCGAGGGCTATTGCTTGGTGTGGATCGGTGCTGTGATCTTTTGTGTGGCCACTTGCGATATGCATGCACAAAGCCATTTACGCGCTCGTTGCGCTTGAGAGATGAGAAGGTAGGTGAGTAGCTATTACTGACATTGTTTTGTTAGTTATGAATTGCTGTGTGCAAACGCATTATGAGACTGATCGAAAAATTACGCTTTCTAATATTGTCAATTCTGAACTATTAAGTAAAGAAAAGCCGTTGTAATTATTGTAGTTAGACGTAAATACGAAAGGTCAGATATTGATGTATATACATACATGCATGCATGCATGCATGCATACACGCATGCATGCGTACACACACACAGACACATATATATATATATATATATATATATATGTGCATACACATATAACTACACACATAAGTACACAAATAACAAACATATATACGTATTACTATGAATATCGCGTGCATCAAATTTTTATTTAGATGCATTTTAGTATCTCGAGCGATTCAAATTGTTTATCTGGCGTTTTTATTATTTTACATTTTGATTGTTTAGTGAGAAGACGGTGGGCGAGATTTTAAAAGACCTACATTGCATCAAGGCCAGTGCTTTTTTTCTTTTTCCTTTTTTTTCCTTTTCTTTTTATTTATTAATATTATGGTTATTGTTATTGTTATTGTTATTGTTGTTGTTGTTGTTATTATTAATATTAATATTAATATTATTATTATTATTATTTTTTATTTATTTTTTTTTTTTCATTATGGCTATTGCGTTTCACAAATCGGTGGTGTACGTTCTTAGGCCTGTAAATGCGCACACAAGCTTACGTGCACGTGCGAGCATACATAGGCGCTCATACATTTACCACACAACTAGGTGTGTTGACAGTTAACGAAGTGAAGTGAGCGATGCATTGCGTATGTGTGAGTCAACATAGGTGTACGATATAGCAAAGGACTGGCTGTTTGTATTCTCGATGACGCAGCCGTTGTTGCTCCGCATTCGTTTGTGGGAATTTAGAGGAAAAATAGGTAAAGAATTACTGGCTTTAATTTAATGCTCATCAAGGTGGTACAATGACCGCACAATATATTTAAAGACACATGTTATGTGATTATAATGGCAATGCGGAGATATTTTTACACGCTAAAATAATCCATTTAATTAATCACTGTCTCCCTGAATCGAGAGTAAAGCCCATAAATATGGCTCTGTAAAATTAATAATTACCGACCAAAGAATAGCATTTATTTAAATTACATTATTACG